GTAGACCCGTAGTACTAAGTGGTCACAATGTTGTTCATTTTGGTTCCTTATAAATTGTAGGGAGACTTTGGATGCGGTCCCTAACTATGAATATTCTTTTACTGAAACCTTGTTGGTTTTCAATTTTTGATCGAAGTCCCTAAATTAATGTGATAATTTATTTCTATGTATGTTACTATATTTTTTTAATTAAAATTTTAAACTTATAGTTGTTTATATTAATGAGGTTTTAAATAAAAAACCATAATTTGTGGAGTTAAAAATATTAAAATATAAATATACTATTGTGTGTGTGTGTACATATATATATATAAACATGGGTACATTCATTAATATTAACCAAAAAAATTATTGTACCAAAACCTGGGTACATTCTTCAAAATCTCCAAAAAAGAAAGAAAAGATATTAGGCTTAATAACATTAGTAAATTTCTTTGATTAAACTTGACATGGATACATTCTCAAATCAAAGAAAAAAGAATGTACCCATATAAGTTTAAAAATAGATTAGAAAAAAATTGAATAGATTTTATATAAAAAAAAATGGTACATTTTACATATAACAAATTGGTATATTTAACAATAAGTACATTTTAACATTAAAATTTTGAAAAATTACATGAATGGGTACATATAATTAGCATGGGTACATTTAGCAAAATAAAAAATGAGTACAAATAAATAAATAAAATATAGGTACAAATACAAATAAAACTTTTTAAAATATGGGCATAGAAAGAAATTAATATATGGGTACAAATTAAAATTGAAAAGAAAATTGGTATAAATTAAAAATGGGTATAAACTAAAATTAAAAATATATTATAAAAATTTAGCCATAAATATAAATATACTAATTATAACATAACACTAAATGAATATATTTAGAAATAAAAAATATTTTATTATTAAAATAATTAATTATGTTATTAATATCCAAGGACCTTGATAAAAATTTGAAAAAGAATAAGGTTTTAATCAATGAAGTAGCAAAAAGAGGGATGGGAACCTAATTTCTCCTAAATTATAATATGTCAATCTGTCTATTGCCTAATATGAATGACCGACTAAACAATGTTCAAACTCTTTTTTTTTTCTTCTTTTTTTTTTCTTTTATTTTAATAAATTGACATTCGAAAGACATCCAATTAGGTAATTAATACGATTGAAATACATTAATCGCAAGCGGATCGATGGTCAATTAATGTGGTGATACAAGGATGGTAAAAAAAAAAAATGTGTGCTTGCTCATTGTATGTCCTATACTTTTAATTAGGGTTTTTATCAAAATGGTTTCTAAGATTGATCAAACTCATCATTTTGGTTTCTTACTTTCAAAATCAATCAATGTCGTCTCTGACATTCACTACCGCACATCAGTTTGGTCATTCCGTTAAGATTCCGCCAACTATTCTATTAGTTTGTATGTGGGACTCACAAATCCAATGAAATGGTGACAAGTGGATTATACAAAATAAGGGTTTTTATTGCAAATAGTCCCTGACATTGATCCAACTCCTCATTTTGGTCTCTGAGTTTCAAAAATTGATAAATTTGGTCTCTGACTTTCAATACCGCGCATCAATTTAATCCTTCCGTTAAAGTTTCGTCAATATTTTTTGTCCCACTAGTTCAATCATATGGCACCACATGGATTAACTATAAGAAACTTTTTTTTTTTAAGATTTAAAACTAAAAGTAAAATAAGAAACTAAAAACCAAAACTAAAAGAAAAAGAAAAAGTCATCGTTGTCTTCATCAGAGTATGCTCAAAAGGAAAAGGAAGGCACCATGACACCACTAAAGTACTTGGCCTCTTGAACTCACTCCTCATTCTCTCTAGTTGGTTATAATCCTAAATCTTATCAGATTTGAATTGAATTTGGATTTGATTTTATCGAATTTAGATTGAATTTTTTTTTCCAATTGGGATTGTGGGATGCGAGAAAAATGTCTGCGCGAAATACTCTTCTTTTGGTTCACTCTTAAAAAAACAATTTTTTATAGTTAATCCACGTTGAGCCATATAATTGGATTAGTGGGACCACATTAACAGAGGGAATAAATTGATGCGCGGTAGTGAAAGTTAGGGACCAAATTTATCGATTTTTAAAACTCAGAGACCAAAATGAGGAGTTGGATCAATGTTAGGGACCATTTGCGATAAAAACCTTTATTTTGTGTAATCCACGTGTCACCATTTGATTGGATTTATGGGTCCCGCATACAAACTAACATAATAGTTGATGGAATCTTAACGGAATTACCAAATTGATGTGAGGTAGTGAATGTCAGGGACGACATTGATTGATTTTGAAAGTGAATGACCAAAATGATGAGTTTAGTCAATCTCAGAGATCATTTATGATAAAAACTCTTTTAATTATTGTAATTCAAACTACCTTAATATTTTGATTACAAAGAAAGTAAGGGGTTGTTTGGTACTATAATTGGATCTAATTTTTTGTTTTTAAAACTAATGAGTATTAAGTAATTTAGCTACCTTCACTGTTTTTCAATGAAATTTAGAATTAGTCCTTGAACAAAAAAATCAGTTAATTTTTTGTCATGAAATACCATTTCAAGAAGGATACTAAACATGCTTTCATTATTCACAACAAATTTTGAAGCCTATACCCTAGATTTATTGTTAGTATACGTGTTTTTATGAATTAACAAAAATATGAATAATCTCTTGAAGTTACTGAGGGCGAGGAGTGACTGAACTTTAAAATGTAATACTTATACATGCGTAGTATATACGCGTATACATAAAATATTGAATTTGTAATTATACAAAGTTTTGAGTTTTGGAGTTGGCTCCTCGACTTAACTGCGGCTCAACGGCTGGACTAACCAAATTCTGTTGTTAAAACCAGTCCAGTTCCAACACCTGAGAGAAGAGAGAATCACAGAGATGGTACTTGTCCTGAAAAAGCAAGAAACAAAAGTATGTCTGTGGTCGGACCTATACACCGAACCCTCAACTAAATCAAACCCAGATGTGCATAAATGGAGAAACGATCCCCCAGATCCTGCTGCTGTATGCGAACTGTGCCCGCCGCCCGACTTCATCTGTATTGCAGGCCACGCCTTCCTTTTTCTTCTTTCTCTATAGTCGTTCCAACATCCAAGTCAACCGTTTGTTTACTTTGTCATTGCTTTTGCTCCTACACGCTACTAAATTCCAGACTTTTTTGTTGTTGTTTCTGTTGTTTTTATACATATATCTTATATATTTGAATCCCAGATCAACCCAAATCTAATTTTTCCTTGTATATATAATCGACCAAATAAAAGATAAAAAGATATCTATATAAGACAAACGTTACATGTGCACTACAAATTTAGATAAGGGGTAATGTGTATAATTAAGCCAGGTGAAAACTATTTAACATGAAGGACATGTGGTCCAATCCATACTCCGGCGAAAATCTAATTTGTCGGGTGGGATATATATGTCTATGACATTCATAGATAAGAGATGTAGACATCAGGAGATATACTTTGATTATAGGAGAAAATTTATTTGTCATCAATTGTATTTAATTATGTGTGTGGGAGTAGAGTATGCAAAATTGAGCAATGAATCTTAGAAGAATATAATTTTGAACGACATGACTTTTTATATTTTTATGCCAGTATTTGAGTTGTCTCCCCTCCTCTTTCAGTTGGCACATCCCATACAGATAGCTCTTCGCTCTTTCATGTTCTCATCTCACAATCAGGCCTGTGGCAAAAGAAATAGAAATATATATAAATTGTACAAATTGGTACTATATATATGCATAAGAACTATAGAAACTAAAAGATAACCCTATTGCAAGAGAAAATTTGCCTATCACTTATTATATACACGATCATTTGTCTTTGTTTAATCTCATTGGTAGTTGAGTAATTAAAAAAATAGACACATAGTTGTGTACGATCATTAAAACTTAGCAATTTGCCTAATTATATATATATATATATATATATAGGACAACTGCTCAACAAACATATCCTGTGGACATACTAATGTTAGTGGTAGAAATTAATAGTCAATTACAATATATATACACTACTCTCAAAAACTAGCGCACGAGGGTTTTAGTGTTTGGGGTTGCATGCGTTAGCAGAACCTCATGAACACTAAAGTAAACTCAATTAGGCTTATTTATAATGGTAATTAACTTTGAAAAAGCAAAAAAGTAGTTAATTAAGCAGGAAGTCACAACTCCACAGACAACAAAAACATGAAAATAATTCAAACACTAGCATGCATGCAGGGCATACTGCTAGATGTCGCAGTTCTACTTTTTCATGGGATGGGAGTTGTTTGGGGTCAAATTGCAGAACCCAAGAAAGAAGAACCGTTGATCATCACGATCACGTTCTTTGTTCTCTTCAAGCTTTGGGCAATGGCCATGCCAGTACGGTATCTCTTGAGAGAATCCAAAATCCAAAACACCAAAAAAACCAGAATAATTAAAGGAAAAAAAGAAGAGAGACATGCGCGTAAGGGTCACGTCAGGATTGCAAAAAGAAGTTTTGGTCTTATATAATAACGCACTCGACAAGGAGGACCAGCGCAGCCGTCTAATCCTTCTGCCTCTCCTTTTATTAAAGCCTGCTTCAATTCCAACATAATCTGAATAAAGCCCTTAATTTTAGCTTAAAATAGAGCTGACACAGTACCCCTCCCTACTCCCGCCCGTAGACAAAAATACCCCACTCACCGCCTTCCACCTCCTGACACCGCCGCTTCCGCCAGTGACCGCCACAATATACGAGTATGTATTTTGTCCACGTACGTCTACGCTCCTCTCCCCTCGTTGTACATTGTAGTACAGACAACAATCCTTTTAAAGCAAAAACCACGACACCCTCCTCGCACGCCCTGCGACAGCAAACAGACAAAAAAACTCGATATAACCCACTTTACCCCTCCCAACCCTTCATTATTACAATTTTACCGCTCCCAAACATGACTATAAAATCCGCACTTCACTGTCCAACTTCTTTCAATTTCAGTTTTCAAACCCTAAACAACTTCTCTTATCTTCTCTCAGGTGTAACTTGTAATCTCAATTAGTCAATAATTATACAAGTGGAGAGATTAGGATTATATTAGTACATTGTTAATCATGATGCATTACCAGGCAGCTGCTGAGTCATGGGGGTACTACGTGCCGGTGAGGATGAGCATGGGGGACCCACTGGAGCGGGTGGCGAGGCTGGCGTCGAAGAGCGCGGTGGTGATATTCAGCGTGAGCAGCTGCTGCATGTGTCACGCCGTCAAGAGGCTCTTCTGCGGAATGGGGGTGAACCCGACGGTGTACGAGCTGGACCAGGACCCCAGAGGGAAGGAGATCGAGAGGGCTCTCATGAGGTTGCTCGGAACCTCGTCGGCGGTTCCGGTGGTGTTTATTGGTGGCAAGCTTATTGGCGCCATGGATAGAGTCATGGCTTCCCATATCAATGGGTCCCTGGTCCCACTTCTTAAGGAGGCTGGGGCCCTCTGGCTCTGATCGTCATCATCGAATTTATCACATGCAGGTCAAGGAAAAAAAATGGAATAGAAAAGAGTGAGAGTGTTCATGATGATGTTCAGTTTTAACTAGATTTGGATATATTTATGTTAATTTCACTTTCTACTCCATTCTCGCAGATTTATATGTGTGTTTGTGCGTGAAAGGAGAGACCTGCAAAACTTGAAAGAGCCTATTTTTGTAACATTCTACAATTGCAGAAAACTAGAAACAAAAAATTGAACAATCTCACAAGAGAAAGACACTAAAATAATAGAGAGCAAAACTCTAAATCTTTCATTCATCAAAAAACGTCTAATGACTCTAATTTGATCCATTGTGCTTTACAAATACATGAATTTAGAGATGCTTAAACCCCTACAATTATGACTCATACATGTACATTACAATGATATGCTATAAAAAACCAGCATAATTCCTTTTAATTCAGCCACAACAACAACAACAACAACAACAAAGCCTTTTCCCACTAAGTGGGGTCGGCTATATGAATCCTAGAACGCCATTGCGCTCGGTTTTGTGTCATGTCCTCCGTTAGATCCAAGTACTCTAAGTCTTTTCTTAGAGTCTCTTCCAAAGTTTTCCTAGGTCTTCCTCTACCCCTTTGGCCCTGAACCTCTGTCCCGTAGTCACATCTTCGAACCGGAGCGTCAGTCGGCCTTCTTTGCACATGTCCAAATCATCGGAGCCGATTTTCTCTCATCTTTCCTACAATTTCGGCTACTCCTACTTTACCTCGGATATCCTCATTCCCAATCTTATCATTTCTCGTGTGCCCACACATCCCACGAAGCATCCTCATCTCCGCTACACCCATTTTGTGTACGTGTTGATGCTTCACCGCCCAACATTCTGTGCCATACAACATCGCTGGCCTTATTGCCGTCCTATAAAATTTTCCCTTGAGCTTCAGTGGCCTACGACGGTCACACAACACGCCGGATGCACTCTTACACTTCATCCATCCAGCTCGTATTCTATGGTTGAGATCTCCATCTAATTCTCCGTTCTCTTACAAGATAGATCCTAGGTAGCGAAAACGGTCGCTTTTTGTGATCTTCGCTAGATTGCTCCGGTCATTAGTGTGGATAAGTATATAAATGGATAGAGATAGGAAAGCAAACACAAGATGTACGTGGTTCACCCAGATTGGCTACGTCCACGGAATAGAAGAGTTCTCATTAATTGTGAAGGGTTTACACAAGTACATAGGTTCAAGCTCTCCTTTAGTGAGTACAAGTGAATGATTTAGTACAAATGACATTAGGAAAATATTGTGGGAGAATGATCTCGTAATCACGAAACTTCTAAGTATCGGAGTGTGGTGTCGTCTTGACTTGCCTTATCTGTCTCATAGGTAGATGTGGCATCTTCTCTGGAAGTACTCTTCCTCCATCCAGGGGTGGTATCTTTAACTGGTGGAGATGCACAAGGTAATGTATCAATTTCACTTGAAGCTTACTTGTAGTCTCAGGCTCGGTCAAGCGCGATACAAACCATGTAGTAGGAGTCCCCCAAGTCGCCGAGCTAGGGGGTCTGCTGAAAGAGGTGACAGACAAGGTAAGCAATCAGAGCTCCGACTGATTGTTCACCTTCTCCCCATCTTGCAGCAGCATGAAGGATAAAGAGAAGAAAAATGAGAAGAGATGATATGAGATACTTTTGCTTTTGAAGAAGTAACTTTCCACAGGCTTATTCTTGAACTGAGCTGGAGGGTTTTCTGGTTTCCTCCAGAGTATAAGGCCGACTGAAGAATTTGAGGGTCAAAACAAGTCCATCAAATCTAGAGTACGTTCCACCCTGCTGATATGGGATACTTTTGCTTTTGACAGAGTAATGGGTGTATCGGCACGTGTGCTGTTACGCTTGTCTCCACATGCTTCCTTGTATCCTTCGCACTTGCCCTATCTGTTCCTCAAGCAGATGCGGAATCTTCCCTGGAAACATAAGATGTTGAAGATGAGTACTCGAGAGCAATGCCAGGTAAGTAATCAGGTAAGGGGTTCCAGGCAGTCAGTTCCTGGAATCTTCACTAAAATATAATTATAGAATAAAATTAATTGTTGTATTCTTCAATGTAGAAATATCATTAATTCTTCGGGTTATTCACCTCTAGCTAATTAATCAGGCATAATTACAGAACGGACCTATATAAAAACTGATTGTGGCATAAACAATGGCATTGACATCACTAAATTACATACCGAAAGAGACTACCATTGATTGGGGATGTAGCTCAAATGGTAGAGCGCCCGCTTTGCATGCGGGAGGTACAGGGTTCGATCCCCTGCATCTCCACTTGGATTTTTCGTTTTTGTAAATTTCCAACTAAATGAAGAAATATTTGTGTATTTACTTGGTATAATGAATTAATTGTACCCAATCCATATATGTAAGGTAATTGTATAACTAAAGTTGCATATATGATCTTATTATAAATGCATTTTGTCCACGTTAATTGATTATACAATATGAGTCTTAAACATAAACTTGTTCGTAAGAGTTGACAATACATTAGTAATTGTGTTTTTTTGTGTGTTAAGGCGTGGATCTTGAGTCTTTAACATGGAAAAAACTTCGATAGAGCACTTATGCCTTACTTGATCTCACCTTACTCCCTCTCAGGTGCATATTCCTCTGTATTTAGTTCATGTGTCCCAGTAGTGGTTCCACTTCCACTCATGTGAGAATATGACAATTTATTAGTTAAGTGGTTGCACAAATCTGACTACGTGGCGTCATGATTTAGTATATTCTCTCCAAATAATGTTGTGAAATCTTGTTATTAGCAGTTTCATAAATTCAGTAAGTTCAATCCTTTTAATTGGGATACTATTGCAAATTCATTAGATTTAAGAAATCAAGAAAATAAAACTTTCAAAAGAAATGTTACTCCTCTTCCTCTAGTTTCAACTTATCTTTACTTTTGGGCTTTGGAACGATGTGTCTACAGACCCAGGTTGGCCCTGTTCTAAATTCTTGACCAAAGTCGGATCAATTAAGGAGTCAATTTGGGCTCAATTATATACTAGTAACTAGTGTTATATATATATGAAGAGTTGTGCGGTAGCATTAGTAAGAATTTTGGACTAAGTCTTCTATTAGCTTCAAGCATTTCATGTTTTTTCTTAAGGTATACATGTCTTTTCTTAAGGTATAGGTCTTCCTCAATTCTTCTACCCATTTTACTGCAAGCCGCTATTTCATATTCATCTTTTCTAATTAGAGTATCTGTAGGTCTTCGTTTCACATGTTTAAACACCATAACCAATTTTTTCTCATCTTATCTTCAATTACAGCCACTCGTACTTTACTTCGAATATCTTCGTTCTTAACATGTCATTCCTTATAGTCTTCAAACAGAAATTTCCTTCGAATTGTTAATTATCTAGTGGTCTTCAAACAATGTGGGGGAGGAGTCCAACAGAAAATGACCCCCAAGCCCCACATGCAAAATGTCAAAAACAAAAAGGAAGAAAAGCCCCATATCCAGTTACAACTTGTTCCGTCCAGAAATCATAACAGAAATTAAATCCCCACCATCCCATGTCTAGTTACAACCGAGGTGAACTTACATGCAACAAGGATTGTCGGTGTTTCAAATTAATTACACAATGTCATAAGTGCAGCTGCACACGTTAAAACATATAGTAAAACTTGATGTGTTCAGAATACCGTCACTTTAGCATTTGGATGTAATTTCTCTGATCTACCCCTCTTAGCTGACAATCATGCCAAAAAGGGTTCTTCACATGTCTTTGTTTTGTTCTGAATATATAAAGCATTTCATGTCTCCGGTTACAGTTGGTCCTAACACCAAATACTCACGGGCTCCATTAAACATAGAGAGCTTGAATCTCCAGCTATATAACACAGACTAGCTGGCAAATAGTCTATAAGCTTTGTTATATGCTGCTTAATTTAAATCAGTAGAAGCTTCTTCCATGGATCCCATTATTGCGTTTCTCCTTCTTCTTGCATCTCTTGCCATCCGCCCACCTGCTCTGGCTGCTCGATCAACACCACCAACCGCTCGGATCACCGTTGTGGGAGCAGTTTACTGTGATACCTGTTTAAGCAACAGTTTCTCGAGGAGCAGCTACTTTCTCCCAGGTAAATAATCTCCAAAATGCAGCATAGTTTAATTTATAATCCATAAATAAGCACTTATGCTCATAAGCACTTATGTTAAAAGCACAACAAAATGTTTGCTAATGGTACGTTTTGGAATGCACTGCAAAATAAATTGTATGAGATTTCAAAAAATACCTTTCAAGATGTTATCAAAAGTATCGGAGAGATTTGTAGTGTTTGAGTAGTTCAATGACTACATTCTTGTATTGCATTTTTAACAATTTAGTCTAAAATTCATTAATACTTTAAAAGTTGCTCGTCCAAACATAGCACAAAGTACTTCATAACTTCTAAGTTTTTCTGTCAAATGCCGTTAAAAGCGCAACTTTAAGTTTTTTTTTCTGATGATTGTTTAGTCATTCTATTAGTTTTGTTAACTGATCAGGTGTGGACGTCCTCATAAAATGCAAATTCGGAGCAAAATCCCACAAAACAGCATCACAGATGAGCTTCCAGGTCAACAAAACCACAGACAAGTACGGAGTCTACAAACTCGAAATCCCCTCTGTCGATGGAGTCAACTGCATCAGTGGCATTGCCATGAAGTCAATGTGCCAGGCAACCTTGATAGGCAGCTCCTCCTCCGACTGCAATGTCCCCGCCTTAACAACCACCGCAGACGAAATCTCAGTCAAATCGAAACAAGACAATCTCTGCATCTACAGCATGAACGCCTTGAGTTTCCGACCACGTAAGAAAAATCTCACGCTCTGCGGAAACAGGAAGGTGGAGGGTGAATTGGCAACTTCCTTCAATTCCTCCAAGTTCTTCCTCCCTTACTTCCCACCATACGGGTTCTTCCCATGGCCTCGGCCGCCGCCATTTTCTTCCCTGCCCTTTCCTCCTCTGCCTCCATTGCCATTTTTGCCGCCATTCCCGTTCCCGTTCCGGGGCCCGCCATCTTTGCCTTTCCCATTCCCGCAGTTCCCTCCGGCACCAAATCCTTTTGCCCCAAATGCTCCGCCGGCGTTTAATTTGGGGGATCCGAGGACTTGGATTCCTTATATTCCTTCAGTTTTTTCTCCTCCTCCGCCGCCTGCGTTCAGCCTGGGAGATCCCAGAACTTGGATACCATACGTTCCTCCTCCGTCCCCTCTGAACACCCAACAAAACCAGAATCCATAGTTTTTCAGATCGATACCTAAAATAATTGTGTTTCATATATATATGATTGTTTATGATGGTCAGAAAAGCTTATTTGTCATGGTAGGAAAAAGAGATTATGTTTATGTATGCCATGGAAAACATTTGGACATAACAATTAACACATATTCTACATCAATCCCGTCTCTGTCAGCCTGTGACTTGTGATTTGTTCAGGGTAAGGACAAAGTGGCTAAAGGTTTTTTTTTTATCAGAAATGGTCCTTAAAATGGACTAAACTCCTTAAACTTAAAAATCGATCAATATTTTACTTGAAATTCGAAGCCGCAAATCAACGTCATCATTTCATAAACATCCATCAAAACTTCTAACAAAAATAAAAATAATGACCAGACTGGTAAGAGATGTGATATCCGTACTCCCGTTTTCACTATTAGTTGATTCTCCTATGACTTATCAACCTAATTGCTAAGAAAATACGTAGTGCTGGAGATGAAACGAGGAATGTAGAAATAGATCTCCGTTGATAAAAACAATGAAACTACATAGACCAAAAGTGATTTCGAGCCAAAATGGTAACTGTACTTTTGACATAATTATTTTTGTTTTCAAATGGAGAAAGATTAGACGAGATTAATTCTTTGACAATGATCGCATGCGAGACACCTATCCTCTCCTGAAGAGGTGAGGACCATTACACCAAGAAACTACAGACTAGCTACCACCAGAAACTAAAGACAGACAATTTAAAATATATTTCTGTGCAATTATTACTTACAACAACGAACCAAACATTGGAAATTAGTTAAGCCGAAAAGAAATTCTTAAGAAAATGTACATACTGACTCCCAAACCAAAACGCCCTTCCAATCGTACTTCAACCTTGCTACTTGCTCTTCCTAATCCGCAATGTTAATGCTATCAGAATTACGCAATAACCACATTGCCTTAACATTTAGCAGACAATGTGTATACAGGCTTTTCAGGTAAACTACACAAATCCTGATATGTAATATCAGGTCAACTACACTCTAGCCTTCCTTCTAGACCATGGAATTCACTGTTTCTGAGAACATATGTACGGCAAGCTACATGTAAATCAAAGCTCGGGCACTAGCGCTGTTTGTGCCTTACTCATGCTCAACTTTAGGGTTCTGTAGCTTCCTTCCTTCTAGCTCTTTCACCTTCTCAAGCAACTTGCCGATCGTGTTAGAAGCATCCTGCATCCAGGGAAAAAAGATTTCTTAGAGAATGGACAAGTGAAGATGCAGAGGGCGGTTTGTGATATATCCTCACCGTTAGGCTTTTCCTTAATCTTTCCTCCTCTTGTTCTCGCTCGGCCTTTTCTTGCACTATTATTTCTAGGAAAGCCGATTGCTCTTTCTCCAACTCTTCTATTTTTTCTTTTGCCTGCTCAAGCTGATTAAAATGAAAAATGAAAAGCATGAGCATCGAAATTTAATTGACATAATAATGTACAGTTTAAGATAACTATTTAAAGCTAGCACACTTACTTCAGTCCCAAGAGATTTGCACCTTTCACAACTGCGCTCGTTTAGCAATTTAGCCATTGCTGGACTGACAATTTCCCTCAAACTGTAAAGAGAAAGGACAACAATGAAATGGTAAGTTTTGAATAAAAAGACTATTTGCACAAGCACACAGCGTAACCGAGCTGAATTTTGCAGAACCTTTCTGTCGCTTCATGGGATTCCTTTTTCGACTTGGTTGAACACTCAGCATCGCAATCTGTAGAAACTTGTCCCACTCTGTTTGTAGCAACCGTCTGCTAACGGGAGCAAATATAAGCAATGAGCAAACTTGTGTCTTGTGTAGTGGGTAGCAAAATTTAGCATACACAACAATCTATTAACTGTCTAATTCTCAACAGTTAACCATAAGGCCCACACTAATCTATTAACTCTATTGTATTTGCTGCTACCACAATGTGCACAAGTGATCATATGATCTGAAGCAGAAATAAACACAAGTGAGAAGTAAAGGTAAAATAAAATGCCTTTGACTGTGAACGCGTAAGCATTTGAGGGACTCTTTCATCTGAAGCAGGATCTTGCTGAGGTTCAATACAAGAATGTGATGCCTCATGACAGCTCCCATTTTCACTTGAAACATTTATGGCTAATGATCCTTTTTCAAGTTTGTTACTGGACTTAAGTCGTCCACTACTAGAACCATGGCAATTCTGATTTACGCGACAGGATTTCCTTCTAACAGACACCGAAGGTTCTCTTTCTGGAAAATCAGTAGTACGTCTTACTGGAGCATACCCAACAGTCTGGCAGTTTACATACCTAGAAAAAATGGATCACGGTAAGTGAGATACAATCATACAAATAACCTCAAGTACTTAAGCAGCATTGAGGAAAAGAACAAACCAGTAATCCTTTTGAATTTTAACCAATTTATTCTCTAGTCTTGAAAGCACAGCAGTCCGCTCAAAGCCCTGTTTGTCGTGAGTTGGTTCAACAAAATCAGCTTCCAAAACACCTGTCACGGAGAGAGATGACAAGAGTGGGGTAACAAAATTAACCCATATCACAATTAGTCTATGCAACTCCGAGAAAAACACAATAACAAATCTGTTTGAGAAGTTTTACAAAATACCTATAATGCCACGACCTTGACTTCCAGCAGGATTCCACAGCCTCCAAAACGGCTGATAATGAAGTATTTTCAGGCAAAATATGAGAAGAAAACAGAATACACTGTACAAGATTGCAAGTATTGTGCCTTATTACCAACAACAATTTAAATGAGACATTCTAATTATTCATTCAGTTAGTCCAACATAAGAATATCCTTAAGCATCTATACGATGGAATAACAAGGTATGACATCTGGAACACTTATAAGACAAATGGCACTGACAACTAACCTTAATCAGTCTATTTTTATGATAAACGCTGAACCCTTGGACAGCAATATGATCTTTTGCATCCTTTACAAAACCAAGTGTCACATTTGCAGTCATCTGTAAAAATAAGGGAATAATCAGTAATATTGTAAAATAAAATCATAAAAAGTAATGCTATTTCAAGATTAGTTATGGAGGTATTACATTTGCAACTTTTGGCGACATTCCTTCCGGAAGTTGCAGAGGTCTGTATGTTACCTCCTTCGTTAACATCATATCATTAACTATATTATGATGTTCAACATCTTTCCCACGAAGAATAATTCTGAAGTTGTATGGAAGCCTGAGATAAAGAATTGATGCATAACTCTGGAATAAAAAGAAAGAATGAAGATGTTATGGTTACGATTGCTGATGTAAGATCGTATGTGAAACTGTCTTCTTCGAGAATTACAATTTCTGTCACAGTGAATGTTGACATTCATTGAAGTTGAATGAGTTCTTCAAACATACCCTTAATGAATGCCGATAGGTTAAGAAGTGTCTAGAGTTGGGATACCGTTTTGCCATCTGAATGTTCTTCTCATCCCTATTGACTCCTCTAATTTGAATATCCTGTCATTTCATGCACAAAAGATAAGAACCCAAATCTGAAAGTGCAGCGAAGGTACCCTAGAATTTACAAGACTTAAAGATAAAAAACAATGATCAATTGAAAAAGAGTCAAAATCTCACATGAGGATCAGTGTCGAAATCAAGTTCCAGTTTTCCTTCATCATCCTCCCAAAGGTTGTATATTATTATACGTGTTCCATGCTCTTTAAAGAGATTAAACTACAGTGACAAAGGACAACAAGTGCATTAGCATATGAAGGAGCTAAGTAACAATTTGTCTTGACATAATATTAAAGACAAACAATGGTGCCCTGAAACATAGCTATGAAATGTCAATGTGGTTATCAATACAAGTAGTGACAATTGTGCAAAACATTTGGTGTTTCACTGGAAACTTGAAGAATGCATTACAATGTACATTCCTGCACTCATATCTAAAGAAGTCTATATTTTCCTTTCTCAAAAATAAGTATTATTCAGAGCAATTTTGAGCAAAAGAGGATGAGTCATCAACCCAAGTCTCAAAAAGATATAAATAATAGAAAATTTGAGACAACAATAATGGTTACTAACCAAACCTTAAGAGTAGAATATTGTGCATTAATAAGAAGCAAAAACACACTAAGTTGGATCTCTCTCTCTCTTGTAGTCAGATTATGCTACAAACTTGAAAAGGCAAAAGGGAAGTAGACCAAATGAGAAATGCCAAGTTCAAAAACAGAATTTGAAAAGAAAAATTAAGAATTACCTGCTGAAGAAGATCTTCTTCGCTTAAATAAGGAGACCACTGCACTATGGTTGCTAAGTTCCTATGCCAGTCATCTGGAGAACCCCGCATCATCTTGTTCCAACCTTGGCCTCTTTTCTCATAATCAATCTTACAGTAAAAATAAATCATAATTAATGGAATAATGGAGAGAAATTAATGCGAGACTGATAATTAAGATCATTTCTCCAATTTTCCCAGTGATAAGCTTCTCTTACGAAATGCATCACTAATTTATTAAAAATGGTCCTTAACTAAACTTCCTGGAAAAAAGGACATCACAACTTGTGGTAACAAGCACTTCATTGTAAAAAAAATTTAAAGCTACCTTTTGTCTGAATTATTTTTATTTCATCTTTTAATAAGTCTTAAACTTTAAGACATGCATTAGTAATAACATACTGACTTGATCAGAGCAATACAGTTCAAAAATCACAATACAAGGAAAGGATTAAGTAGCGTCTGGTGCTAATTATGAAAGTTACAGTACAAAACTATAAACCCGAAAGCCTGGCTATAAAATCAGGGATAGTCAAAATGTTGTCATTATTTTACCACCAAAAAAGAAAAAAAGAAACTCTGCTTACCATGGGAACCACAATATCTTCCTTTCCAGTACCCCTCAAAAAGGTGTAGGATAGCACTCCAATGGTCTGTGTCGGTCTAAGAGAAAAGAGTATGAGTCGGTTACTTTTCAATTTGACAAAATAAAAACATGAGGTAGATGACAAAATAAAAAGTAACAAAAGACTGCCACATTTCTGCAAGTCCTTATACTACAATCATGTAAAACTTCAGACTTCAAAGACCAAATGAATCAAGTTTCCAAGCTAGGGTTTAAGTTTAACAGAGACAGATTAAAAACAAACCTTCTCCCATCCTCCCCCTCACAACGAGAAAACACTATTACATCTGCTCCAAGCCTCATAGTACTAGTCTTAAACCCATTGCCATCTGAAAAAGAAAATATTAAAAGAATGAGAAAATTATTAGTGAAACAATCTTCTCTGTTATAGCAGTTATTCTCTACCCATTTACACAGGAAACTCTATAGTATATGCAAGTAATATAGAAGCTCACATTGACCAATAGTATTTGCCAATTTGCTTTTTGCAGAATACCCAAGAGACATGCATTCTCGCATTTTTTCAGGCGTCATCCCACCACCGTCATCTGTAGTAAAAACAAGGTTAATCAAATGTAAAAATCAACTATTATCATTTGTACAAAGAGTTGAGATATTTCAAGTCAAAGCAAAAAAAAAAAAAAAAAAAAAAAAGGGGGAAGGGAAAAAGCAATTGTGATCTTAAAAACTCAAGCTGAGCACATATGTCTTAGAACACAGATGGAACTGCGAACACCACTTTGTGATACCTATAGCTACCCTGGTTCCTGGATACCAATATAACTAATATCGAAACAGTATATGCAAATAAAGGCCACTACTAAATCAGTCAACTAAGAACCAATTATAAATCATAAATGGTAATGCCTGCACCCTATCGATACAAATAGTTCACCATGTGTGAGAAGAAATATGACAAAACTATGGAGAAGCATACCTTCAACCATCAACATCTCATTACCATCTTTTTTGTTTCTCACCACGTCAACACAAACATTGTTGGCCCCATTGCAGACCTGGCCAACATAAATAGTCAAGACGAACAAAGACATTACAATTCAAAACGCACTTACATATTCCTTGAATTTTTGAAAAAAATAAAATATATATATACATATATATGTTCAATAACCTCATCTAAAGCATTGTCTAGGAGCTCCGCAAAAGCTGCAAACAGAAGATCACAGTCAGCCAAATTCCAGTATTGCATAGCCAGATTCTTTTCATTCGAGGAAACGAAAAAACAAGTAATCCATCGTTCACAACTTCAGGGACAATGTACCTCCCAGAGCCCACTTATGGCTGGTTGCATTTGAATGGAGAAACTTGGGATGAACCCTAACATGGTCCATGCCAGCTGCAAAATCCAAAACACCCAAAAACAATTAGCAAATTACCATCAAACTCTCCTAAAACACTCCAACAAAGACATGCAGGTCAAGATTCCAATGAAAAAAGACTTGCAGAGCAAGAAAACAAATCGTCAAACACTTGGTAAACAAAAACAAAAAGCCAGAAGCACTAACTTACCAGACGAAAACCCAGAAATGGCAATGCCTCCACTGTCACCCTCATAATCTCCTGCTTTCCAAAACTGCTTGCATCCCCTTATAACCGGGCCCACCTGGTTATTACAACCGGACCCACTCGGCAAGCACATTGTCGAGTCGGGCAAAACCAGAGCCAGGGGCAACTCCTTGGACAATTCCAACGGCGGGAGGGGACGCAGAAACCCTAGCGGCAACACGAACCCCCTTTCACCGTCGCGTTTGGCCTTCTTCGCCGCCGGAGCATCATCCCCTCCATCCGCCAAATCGCGATCGTCGCCGTTCAACTTACTCGTCACGGAATCGAACAAGGAATTGGTCTCAAGGCCTTCGATGTCGGAAGAATTGACGGAACTGGCGCTACTGCTACTGCTACTGCTACTATCGCTGCTTAATGGGATTGGCAGAAGGTTGGGGATTTGGTAGGGTTTCTCGGAGGGTTCTTGCTTGACGTTAACGGCACTGGAGGCCATGGTTCGAAGGGCAATGCGGGAAATTTTACAGCGACGGATTGTGGGTTTTTTTGGGTTAGGGTTTGTCTGGGGACTGGGAAAATGCGAGAAAATTTCAGAGGATTTTGAAATTGGAAGGAGAAATCGAAACGACGACGGAGAGGGAAGAAGAAGACGGACGGTTATGTCACTCCCGGAAGTTCGGGAACAAAAGTGGCGCGACTGTGTCACATAAACAGAGATAAAACTAGGATGGAAGTTTTGCACGTGAGAGGCACGTGGATAACAATGGGCATTCACACGGCGTCTTGCACCGTTGGTGGTGCACCGTGCATGGCCCTGGCGGTTACTCACTCAATTGGCGCGGCAGTTCGGAGCTAATTCCAGAATGGCTAAAAAAAGCAAAGCAGAAAAGCACTGGGAAAACATGCTCGGAGTTGCTTTTGGAATGACAAAAAGTCTAAGAATAATTGTTGGTGGTTCGAGTGAGTTGACTCGATACAAGCCAAGAAGGATGTGAAAAGTAGTCTCACATTTGAGAAGTACAACAATTATCTATCAAATCCACTCTTAATTGCACTGATATTTGTTTTGATAATATACTCATGAATTAACAGCTTCAATATCTACATTTCAATACAAAATTCTTGTTAAGAATAATGCTAGCAAGACAAAATTTACAAACTAATCATGTGTTACTAATAAGAAATGAGTCTGTTTATTAACGCTTAAGCAATAACTCATTTATTAACTTCCATCTCATTTAATTTACAAATTTTGTCTACAATTTTAATCTCTTTAACATTACCCGTCTTGTTAATACTAGTTGGGGCAATTTTGAGATTAATGAAAATTTAACCAAATACATATACTAAATTGTCGTTTTAATTTTGGGTAAATTACATAATACTTCCTCAGATTTGAAGTCTATTACAACTCATACAACATCTTTAAAACATTTCAGTTTATATTACCTTCGTTACATTTTCCAATATAGTACAACTTTATTTTATTTCAATATAGTACATCCGTTACGTTTTCCATCCATTGATCCGTTAAGAGCTGACGTGACTGCCACATTTGTACCACATATGTGCCACGTGGCAAAAAAAAAATTTTTTTTTTTGGAAAACCTGAATCTCCTAAAAAAACAAAAAAAACTGGAAAAACACATAACCCATCCCACCTTCCCCGCAACCCCTCCCCACCCCTCCTCTCCCTCCCGAGCCTCCCAACCACCTCCCTCTCCTCCACTCTCTTCACCTTCCCTCCCATCCAAAAACCCACCCCATCAACATTCCATAAATAAACACAATTTCCCAACCCAACAGACATTGTGCGAAGACCAATCGACAAGATTCAGATAGAAATCATCCTGCAAAGCAGGTGCATCCAAAACCTAAACAAGAAACAAAACTTCCGTATATATATAAAAAATAAATTAATTAAAAAAAAACCAATTCACAATATCCAAAATCAAACCAAACCCAAATCGCCAAAAGACTAGAAAGTGATGAAAGTCACCTTATAAGGCGACCGGGGAACCTTCAGAGGAGCCTTGACGGGGCTATGGTGAACTCCGGTGACCACATCATCGAACCCAAAAGGGGAAGGCGAGTGCATTACCAGAAGATGTTGGGGCTGGGAAGGTTCATCTGAATCGCGCTCCTTTTCTCAAGCATCGCCGGAGGGACGACGCAGACGGAGTCAGGTCCAAAGAGGGCAGCGCGTAGGAGAGTGCCGTAGGCGCTTGACGAGTCGTCGCGGCCCTCAGATGGAGTATTGGAGATGTCGAAGAGGAGGAAGTTGGAACCGGATCTACTGGGCATGAACCTATCAGGGTAGATGGTCCTGGACGGCGATTGGTTGTAGTTGATCAGGCGGTCGATGTGCCGAGATGGGGTTAGGGAATGTAGTGCCTGAGAGTGCAGAGCAGTGTCGGAGTCGATGGGGCTGTGAGAGTGAAGATCAGTGTGTGTTTTTGGATGGGAAGGGAGGTGAAGAGAGTGGAGGGGAGGGAGGTGGTTGGGAGGCTCGGGAGGGAGAAGAGGGGTAGGGAGAGGTTGCGGGGAGGTGGGGGTTCTGCGTTGTCAGTTTTTTTTTTTTTTTTTTTTTTTTTTATTTATGAGAAGATTCAGTTTTTTTTTTTATAAATTAAAAAAAAAAATTTGCCACTGCACATATTTGGTAGACATGTGGCACACATTTGGCAGTAATGTGATATAAATGTAGCAGCCACGTCAACTTTTAATAAATCAAAAGATAAAATATGCAACAAAGGTACGATATTGAAATAAAATAGTAGATGAAGTATAAAAGTGAAATGTTTTAAAGATATTGTATGAGATTGTAATAGATCTCAAATCTAAGGTTGTTATGTAATTTACTCTTTAATTTTTGTTTGTACTTTTATTGAAATTGATAAAAAAAAAAAAACTACCTTTTTTGTTTTCAAAATTTGACTTTTAGTTTTTTGTTATTTTTAACTGAAAATATTGCCAAACTAGTTTTATTATTAAAAAAATAATTAAATACTAAAAATTAAACTTATTAATAGAACAATCTTTGTCATCCAAATTAATTAAATACTAAAAATTAAACTTATTAATAGAACAATCTTTGTCATCCAAAAGAGGGTAAAAAAAAAAAACTATTTAGTCCTCTAGCACACAAAAAAAATGGCAATAGTGTAATTTCACATATCTAAAGTTTACTATTTTTTATTGAAGCATCACCTACAGTGATATTTAAACATATCTAAAGTTTCTAATAGATGTACCAATTGACCTACTATTATTATTTTTTCCAATGAGTTCACTTTATGAACAAGCATATGGCAGGCCTATATGCTAATGACTCTAGCCCAAATCTCTTGAGTTTGGTGATTCACCTCTTTATAAAAATATGCAACTCATATGTTATTTTAATTCTAAATATATAATGGATTGCTTAGGTGATTATGACATTCTTTTTTAACCAACCGCATCACCTGTTCAAACTCTTCCCCTCCCCCTTAGTCTAGATCAGAATAGTATTATCGCTTGTATTAAGAAAAGAAAAAAAAAGCTCTAAATGTACAACTTTTATATCTTATGTACATCTAATGACTTGACCTTTGTTCCGATACAGTAACTAGGGGGTGTATTATTTATGGAGTTTAATGGAATTTTCTTAAAACGTTTTCAATACAGATTTTTATAGAGTCAATAAAAGTTATCCTGTATTAAATAAAAACCTTTTATGACTTCTAAAAAATCTTTAAAAATCTCGTGATATTCAATTATAACTTTTTGCAAGTCTACAAAAGTCCATGTTTATTCAAAAGTTTATTAATTTTATAGAATTTAAAAAATGGAACTTTAACGAAAAGCTCACAGTACTGTTCATTTTAACGAGATTTTTATATTATATTTTATGTATGTTAACGCTCACAACTTACAAGTTAACAAATTAAAATATTGAACCGTTGGTGGGCTTTTAGATATGGGTTAGAAAAAATGGACTCAAAGATTTAAGTGGTTCACTCCTCAATACTGGGCTACATCTAGTGTGTTGCTTGGATTATTTTGATTTCAAGAATAAAATAGTGCACAATTTATTACAAATACTCTCCCTTTCCTCAGTTGTCCAACCTCAATGTGCTTAAAAGCCTTGGGTTCACCTCCTTTCACTTCCTTGGCACTTAATGCGTTGTTTGCATAGCTTAGTGTGTTGACACCTTTTCACCCATCAACGGCACATTTGCGGTGAAGTAACATGTGTTCAATCGAGATTGCACGCCTTTTCAGATGCATGCCGAGCGTCTTGCTCAGCCTTGGTTATCCAACTCCATCTCTCTGAGCGTCGTTCTAATTACCTTTACATCTAATCCTAGGCTTCTACCACTGATTGTGAATCGCCATGTGGATTGATTGACACTGGAGTAAACTTGCTCATCGATACTCACATCATAAAGTTGCCAGTCTGCTTACATGCCTTTGGCAGTCGAAAAACACCTTTCATAACCTAGTTGGACTAAGCTCGCAGGCAGTCGACTTGAGTGATCGGGAGCCTCTTTCCTTAAACTCTTTGGACCTTGGGCTTCTTGATTTCCCTTGGGCTTTAGCTTTGCTTTAGGCTGCTCGTGGCCTTTTGTTTTTGGCATGTGCTATTCGGTGGGCCTAAAAGTGCCCCACGTTAACAATATCATAGAAAATACTTCTTCCCCTAAGATTTTGATGGACTTTCATAGATTTTGATCACTTTTTCCATTTTCACAACACCATATTGTCACCATTCACCATCACTTAACCATAACCATCCCTACTACCCTGTTGCTGACATATCCACCATCATTACCACTATCATCACGACTACTGTCCCCACCGCCATCATCATATCACTTATTTGACCACCACCTTGTCATACTCATCATCACCTTACCAAAACCTCCTACAACTATCTTTCTATTGCGCATCATTAACACAACCACCATGATTGCCACCTATAGTACCACCATGTTACCTTGCCTCCACCACTCTCACCACTCCCTCTCCTACCACCGCCTTGTCACACTCATCATCACAACAACCTAGTACGACCACCTTAGTGTTGCCACCCGCACCCATGACCACTACTAACACCACCATCAACATGATCGCCACCTTTACTCTCGTCTTACCTTACCCATTGCCACCACCCAAACCCCCACTCCTCCACCACCCTAACCACCACATTAGAAACATACGATTTACAAGAATTTGGAATTAAAAAAAATGATGTTGATGTGTTAAGGATTCTTTCAAATTCTAACCATTTTGGTCATAGCAGAAAAAGCAAAATTACATTTTTCAGTGAAAAAAAGAGTAATAATAACAAAGTGTGTTAAATTCCTTTTGAACCCTTCAAAAGTCAATCATTAACTCTAAAAAAATCTATATAAGTCTAGCATTAAAAGGTCTCTAAATTTCATAGAGTTTCTAATAGTCAAGCATGCCACTTAGTACTACGGTTTAGTGGTATTTCTCTTCACTTGTAAGTGAGAGGTCTTAAGTTCGATTCTCGCCAAAAGCAAATTTGAACCACATTATTGCTAGCCCATTGTGAGGGTAAGCACATCCCCTCTCCTTTAGTGTACATGATATCGTTTGTTAAAAAAAATAAAGTCAATAAAAGCCTATGATATCCTTTATTAAGTTGTCAAATATTTTAATCATTTGGATCTAAATTAATATAACTTTGTGACTAATATGCATTTGATTCTCATAGGTCCTCAAAACGAGTCTGTAGACTTGTAAACTTTATTAAATATTCTTTTTTTATTAGCACCCCATATATTGCTGAATGCATCCCACAAAAAAAAAAATCAATATTAAATTACTTATGTATTTTACCATGCAATGATAATTTCGACCTTATTAAGTTTTTAAAAAATAAGAAATTTCCAAATACACCCCTCATCACTTTTAACATATTATTTATCTTCTTCAATTATCAAAACCCTCCCACCCTCCATTATTGAACAAAATCCTAACTAATGAAACTACAAACACATTAATTGAGAAAACCCTAACAAAATGTCTATGAATATGCCAATGCTATTGGTCACTGTGATTGCAAGAAATTATTTTCTCTCAAACCACACATTATATCACATCCCGGCATTTACTATGTCGAAAAACTTCAGAACTTATGCCTTTAAACCAGCTCTGTGAATTGCAATACCAACATCTTGAAACTTTCAATAATTCTTTTTTATTTTTATTTTTTTGTTATAGAAAGGTTACATAAGATCTTGAGTTTGGATAATTCTTGAGTTTGGAAGTGATATAAGATTTTCCAATCTACACAAAGGTAAGAAAATTTAAGAGAAGTGTTAGCGTCCAAAGCAGTTAATGATAATATGCTATCAAGCTGGAAACAAAAAACAAGTCAATCACAGAAGTAATTACCCTGGGAACAGCAGGGCATATAGAAATATAATGCGTGTTTGAGAATGTGGGGTGTAAGTGTATTATGGACAGGTATGTGGGGTTTATAAGAGTTTATAAAGATAATTTTTAATTGAAAAAGTAAATGTGAGATGTATTAAGTATGTAGGGTTTATTCAACAATTTGTAGTACTAATATAATAAGCCTATTAAATAATAATTTTACAGTGGAGGCATAAAAATCCAAAGACATGCATGCATCATAATATTAAAATAGTTAGTCAATCTCTACTTAACAAGCATGATTGTAACCAAGGAAGAAAATATCGGTAATATCAGAAATATCGGTAGTCCGAAAACACGGAAATATCGATGGAAATATCGGTAAAATATCGATATCGATAAAAATTACATGGAAACCACGGAAATTGTAAGAAAAACTTGGAAATTTTTATTGAAACTTTGTAGGATGTTTATTTAGTCAATTATCTATTAGTTTATCACAAAAAATTGGAAAGAAATGCATTGCATGATGGATTTAACATTATCAAGTTGATTATATAGCGAGCTGACAAATATTGTGAGTGTAGAAAATATGTAGTAATTAATGAAAGAAGTCTAAACACACCATAATCATTTATATATAATGAATTAGTACAATATTTTACACTTTATATATTGCATGGTAAGATACATAAGTGACTTAGTACCACATAGAGTTCCTATGAGGTTCAAAATTTTCACTATCTTCATCATCTCTATGTGTAGAGTGAGTGTATTGTGAAGAGTAGTTATCCAATTTAATGAATAATAATCCAATTTCATAATAATCCAATTTAATGAATAATAATCCAATGTCATAAAAAAATAATCCTAATATAAAACATGGTGATGAATAATAATCCAATTTGATAATAATCCAATTTAATGAATAATCCAATTTGATAATAATCCAATTTAATGAATAATAATCCAATTTGATAATAAAAAAAGGCGATAACAAGGCAATTGGCAAAAATGATTAAAAAAATCTAAATTGTCTAACTGACCGACACTCTTATAGACTCATTATATCACTTTTATAGACTCATATTACCCTTATAAATTCATTATTTTTCTTGAAATTGATTAGAATCATTAGAAAAACAATTTTTTGCATTTCCATA